CAACAAATTCATGTATCTATCTTCTATCATATTTCCGCATCAAGTTTTTTCTCGCTATTGTTTGATACCCGTACCTCGAAATATCTTAAATTTTTTCGGTGAGACTTCGTTTACGAGGGTTGCTTGGTACTATGATCACAAATAAGGCACTATTTTTCAACCGTTAAACGGCGATTTGCCGCTGCGACCGTTTTCATCGAAAGCGATGTGTAGCTGCACCTGCAACTGTACCAGCTTGTGGCCAATTGAGGCCATCCCCCTCATAACTATGTCCTTCAAATCTAGCTGATGCAATCGCAGCAATACGCGGAGTAATGTTAATTTTGCTGGCTACTATCACATTCCTTGGAGGGGGCATCTCTTCCGATGGTTGCAGTGGCTGTAATATACGCAAGTTAGTGCCCAACTGAACCATTGTTTGTTGCCAACAAGACCTCTTTTTCATTAATATACATACTTTGAAATGGCACCTAAGCGTCTTCACCTCCTTTCAGCTCTGCGCTCATCTTCATGCCAGCAGCGCTATTCGGTACGATTCTCATCGTAGATCGTTCGAGCACAGCGCGGATCCGATCCGACCCACACTGTACGCATTTCACCTGTTGAGGGTCTTTTGTATCACCGCACTCTTTATTAATTGTGCCACGCTACACACGTCATGTCTGTCTTCTAATTCTCTTTCTTAGGTATATCCACTATCCTATTGACCCGTGCTCTTCTCAAGAGGCATCTCCTGCCAATATGTCTTGTTCTGGAACCGCTGTAACATTTGCGCTTTCCTCTACCTGACCTTCTTTCTCCAGCTCACCTCTTCTATTTCATGCTATCTCTCCTGTAGCCTCTGACCTCTGGAGCTCACTTCTAAGGGGTGCTTTGCTGCCTCGGCTTCGGATATCAGTAGCTTCCTTCCAAATCGCTCGAATCCCTCGGTTCGCTGACTCGCTCTTCTCTCCTATCCATCTACATGCAGCAAAACTGTTCCGCCATCCTCCCTAATCCTGCACTTCAAAAATTGACTTGGACTCTTCAGTAGTCAATGCCAACTGCTCGACCGCGTTGTAGGCCTCTCTGGAATCCTTTTCGACAAGTTGTGATGTGTGCGTGATCCCCTGATTTATCACTTGAATCTTCAGAAGGATTTGCTTGCAATCCTCAAATCTCAAGCACTATAGAAAGCCCAGTGTAATTTTTGACCGGCTCTCCTCTTCAGATTCGTAAGTTTCACGAATGCCCTTGATCGTCCTGCTGCCAACTCACTAGCCACCATTCTTCTTAACTCTTCGGCTACCGCATCGAGGCCCATCTCCTTGACTCTCTGGAAGAAGAATGAGAAAGCATTAGGTTGTCCCAAAAGTTCGTGACATTTTCAGACCTTTTTCGTGTTGAATATATTTCCAATGAGAAGCAATTTTGATCAACAATATATATGTTACCTTCATCGACAACTTGTTGCCAACCACCAAGCAGAAGAGTGGTTGCCTTGCTTCCAGAAGCTTTTTGGTTCCGTGCCGAGAAAGGCGGCTGGGTCATTTTTGAGGTGTTTTTGAAAATCGTATTTTTTACACAGAAGGAAGGCGCAAAGGGATTAGTTTGGATGGCAGTCAGAAAGAGCTGAGTCATTGCTGCATGAAGACCGTGGTGGGATTCACCAGTCAAGCCTCAAGATCTGTGTCATTTTCCAGCAGTGTCATTTTCCGAAGGTGTGGCCGTGAGCTGTGGTGGAGTAGGCATTCACTGCTGGGTTATGGGACCAAATGATGGGGGTTTTCATCTCCTCTAAGCTGTTGATTGCAGGAGGGTTGCTGGTTACCAGAGCGCTGAGAGAATGAAATTTCCTTGAAAGCCCACCACATGCACACTCCTACCGCCCAACTGGATTGATAGAATTGCATGACCGGTACTGCCCTTTCTGGTGGATCTAGACGGTTGTTTCCGGGATTGGTTCACCTAGAGACATCCGTATCCAGTTACAACGCTGTTCAACCAGTTCATACGGCGGAAGCGGGATGGAAGTTGCAGACGCTACCACATGCACTTCCACTTGAGTATCGGTCAACTCAAGAAAAAATTTTGACCGAATTTCAGTACTTCGGAGGCAGTTGGCACGGTAATTTGGTACCCGGCCGAAAATGCTAGCAGGGTGCTATATAATGGGAACATAGCGAAAGAACTGAGTTGAACGGTTAAAATCCTCCGAAGAACACAGTCTCGGAGCTTAGTGGATTGAAAATCAAGTTTCGGACGAGTTTCCATAGGCATCTTGCCAATAACCGCTACCGAAGATACGGCTGCATATGTGTACTCATATATCCATGCAGCATCACGGCCGCTTCATACCCTTCGCTTCATAATTTGCTTAGCAAATAAATCAATACGAGAGTCTGGAACGGTCGTCCATTTGTGGGCGTTCGGGCCGGTATGTTATAGCATGATACGGGCCCTTATACGGAGACCTTCCTTGGGAACAGCGCTGCGCGGCGCCTTCTTAGGGCCGCTCAATTCCGTCCTGCCAGGCCTATTAATGCCAGGGACTTATCGTACCAACTGCTTTTGAAGGCAGTTCCGCGATAAAGTGAGGCATAGACTCTGAAGAAAGCCTCGCGACTATGCCCATTGGCGCCCGTCAGGCCCAAGGCGGCCTCTGGAGGCTCGTGTCCCTTGTCACGAAACGAAGAAAGCGACGGCCATCTTTCGAGCATTTGTCGCTTGGAATTTCGTTGTAGGCTAGGCGATCAGTAACTCAGCAGCTGTTAGTGAGATACACATTTTTTTTCTCTTCCTTGCTCCTTCACTTCACTGGTTTTCTCCTAAGGAAAACACTGTTTTTGTTGGTTATAAGCTATGTTTGCGAATTGTTTATTTTCGTGTGCATATTTCTTGTGCCACTCATTTCTGATAAGTCACCGTGTGTAGGAGGAATTGAAAACCTGCAGTATATAGTGAAGCTTAAAAACATAAGCGAAGGAGAAGGAGATGGAATACACGGATAATTCAGCAATCACCAATATCACAGTCCTCCAGGAAACACAAACACCTCCACGAACAGCAGCGGGCTCACTCTACCCCGCCAATGGTCCGAGAAAAAAATAATCACTCCCTTGCCATCTTTAGAAACTACTTGTTCGAATTCCTGAATGACACTATCGTTAAAAGAAGCCAGCTAAATGAAGAGCAAACCAGTTGGTTGGGCAAAAGCAAAAGTTGCATAGTTAAGCAAGCGTGGAGTCGGAGTGGCGCATGAAACCCTCACAAGTTTGAAAAACAAGAAGACTAGAACGACATTCTAGTTAACATCGCCCATACGTACATCGGGCGAAATACAGTAAGCTGTCATGAGAACAAACACGTTTGCGACAAGTACAAAAAAGCGGTGAATAAAATACGATAAAAGTGAAAAATCACAATCAAAACGAGTGTTTGAGACAGCTGTTCGAATTGATGGACCATTTTCAAAAGGCCTGCAACGTTGGGCACCTCGGGGCTCTAACCATGTCTTCACTTCACTGTATGCACGTGCAAGCTCCCTTCGACAGGGGAGCCCTATATAGGTCATTACGAAATATTTACTTCTGTTTTTTCTTCACTATCTAGTTGTATACTACCTTGCTATTTTTATTCCAGGTTCACTACCCTCTATCTGTGATCCCGTGCTTTGCCTCTAAGGCTGCGTTTATACTTTGCTGGCAGCGAAGAGTAGCGGTATAAAAAGGTTCGGTGGTTCGCCAATTTGCTCACGATAGGAGGTCCACCAACACCAACAGGCGCACAACAAGTTTATTGACCACACCTCAAACTTGGGTAATTAAACTGGTGCAGAAATAGTAAAATAATCAAGAAAGACACACACGATAAGGCATTCTTATCAATCGCATAGTAATCCCAGCACTATAGTCAAACAAGAGATAATCTTCCCAATTAGAGATACAAAGAAAAAGGCAAGGCACATGAGCGCATCATCAATCCTAGAAGAAACTTGAGCAAATACCAACGTATTTATTCATTTATTCTGCGTCGGCGTTTGACTTCGCTAGATGCGCACCAGATAAGCGTTGGAAGCTAAAGTAAAGCCTTTATCAGATCAAGAAAAAGTCACAACATCATTCCTCTCTTACATGACAGTAATCGATCAAAGAGATCGCGGTACATCCGCGATACTCCCGGCCCGGCGGTCTTCTAGTTGTGGAGAAGGCGCATTTCGTGTTCCAGAAATTCGATTCTCTGATAAGTGTCTTCGAGACTACGCCGTGCCCTTGCTAACCTTTCCGCGACTTCCTCACTTCTGTCAGGTAATTCGCATAAGGCGGAATGATGATCAAATTCCCCGCAATGGAAACAACGCGCATAATATTTTGGACATAGCTGTCTTCCTTTACAATTCTCCAGGCACTCCACACATCTATCTCTGTCTTCAATCATCTGGCGGCGTTCCGTGACAGATGTTATTTCATCGCATGAGTCCGAGTAGTGTCTACCCACTGATCTGCAGAAGGCGCAGCGCATAAGTCTTTCCGCATTGTTGCTGATTGCTCCGTACCCATACCTTCTTGGCGGACAAGTGGGGTGCTGGCGCAATTCGTCGATGATTAGGCGAAGATTATCGCGGGCTTGTTTTAGCTGTTGGAGTTCCTGTTGAATATACTCTCTCCTGTTGCCGTCCTCCTCTCGCAAACGTTCCCGCAAGTTTGGTGGTTCCTCTTCTTCATTTGCTTCGGCCTCCTCTAACTCGACTCCTTCAAGAAACTCGACATTCTCCTGGATCGCCTCTCTTTCTTGGTCGTGCATCGCTATGCCCTCCGGCCCGAGTGGAGGTTGTTGCGCTTCTTGGTGTGGATTCGCAGGTGCTTCCGGTTCCTCGTTCTCATCAGCGACGTCTATTGCCTCCTCGTTCTGAAAATTCACGTCTGGAGCGCTACGTTCCTGCAGGTCCTTGGCGAGCAAAGCAGAATCGAGCGAGGATTGAAGTTTTGCAACAGCTTCTGACATCTGCTTCCTGAAATCGAAAGCAGTTTCTCGGTCCTCTTCCATGAGTGACGTCCGTATTTCCATGAGGGATTGGTGGTGGTGTGTGAGCTGTTGGAGTTGATCCGTAGCCACCATTTCGATCTGATCTGGTTGAACTAGAAGTGGGAGACCCATATCGTTGCGGTGGGGCCGATCCATCCATGCGTCCCATATATCCTTTGTAGTATTTCCCGCAGCGCACAACAGAGCAGGAATGGTAAATAAGGTGCGGAGTTGGAATCGTGTGAAGGTCATCTCAATGCGCAGATTTTCCACAGAGAGTTCCAGCAGTTCAACGTTATGGAGACGGTTGTCGTAGCTGTCGCTTGATCGGCGGAGAGCGTTGATGCGGTTGTTCAACTCGGTCACTCTTGTAGTGCAGGAGTTGAAATTATGGCAAAGTTTGATGATGTTTTCATAAAGTCGCTCTGGTTCGGGGAGAGGAAGGGCTTGGCGCAATTGTCTCAGTTGCTGTGATTTCTCGTCTAGTTCTTGGCGGGTGCGAGTGAGTTCTTCTTCTGCCTCCTGTAGCTGACGGCGCAGATTTTGCTCCATTTCCTGAAAGGAAACAGGGGATACAATAAGAAAGATGAGGAACTTTTGTTATATTCTTAAATTGAAGGGAAACTATTGGCGTTGCCTGCGCATATGGTATCGATCGTTGATGACTAATTGTTTTATATACTGGCGCCTCGCAATCGCACACTAACTACTCCGTGATCGTATATTGATTATCGAGGGTGACTAAGCGCTCTTTTTGTTGTTTCTTTCCCGACGCGCATATCGATCTCTAAGGACGCCTACTAGCATAAAGAGTGTGCGCATAGGAAAACAGCTGATTGCCCACACTGTGCGTACGGCAAATGTTAGAATGCGCATTCCAATGGCATTTAGACATAAGTACGATATTATTAGGGCTAGTACGACCGCTATTAGAGCTATCAGCAAGGTCTTATACCATGTAAAGATGACGTCGAAGATGTGTCCAAAGTCGGGCCACTGGAATTCACGGTAAATGTTGTTTTGTCCTTCCACTGGTGATAGAAGCGGAGCATGAAGAGTATTCACATATTTTAGAACTCCAGTGAGCAGAAATTCGCTGCTATTCAGGCCACATGTAATGCTGCATTGCAATAATTGTCGTGCTGAGTCGAGGTGAAATCTTAATGTGGATTCAGGCCCTTGCGCTGCGCATGGAATTACGAACGCATGATGTCCACATAGAACCTCACCCGTGGTTTGGGTTTTCGAAAAGCAGCGAACTATCGCATATGCTCCTTTTGTGCAGTGATAACACCCTTGCAAAGGAGCATTGTCCACTGTACATATCTCGTCTTGAACTATTTCGAGAGCGGTGTCAATTGTTTGGTTAAAGGTGATGATGATTTCGGATGACACCATATGCAAAATTTTTGCAAAAAGAGAGGAATTTCTCGTGCGCATTAGTTCCCAAGAAGCTGTTTTGACAGGGATTTTTAGTGGGAGTTTGTGAAATTCCGTCTCGATGTCATCTGAGGGACATTCGCAGATCACGGTAGCTTCTGCCCCGGAACAAGTGCACTTGTCATCGATTGTGCAATTCAGGGACTGAGCATCATTCCATGTTTGGCAGCGCAATGACGGGGAAAGGGTCCCACTCCAAATAGAAGTATCGATCCCATCTGTGATGAATTCTCTTGCAAGCGCTGGTGTAGGTGGTAAGGAGAGTGATGTCAGAACGATTTGAAGAGGAGGAATGATGATCGGAACATTAGGAATGGAAGATATCACGAATCGCGGACTTCCTAGCGTGCTGTTCATATTTTCTATAATAATTTCTAACTTCAGTTGCTCGGTCCAGCGCATGCAACGGAAGATTTCGTAGATTTTTGTGCTACGTGGAGTGGCAAAAATACGATAAAACAAACAGCCTGAACTCGGATAAAAACAATCGCACCCTATTCCTCCGCAAGACTCTAAACATCCAGTACGGCCTGGGTGGTTGTTTCCTTCGTTTAATTCCTCAATCAAACTGGAGCTATTGATTGCTGCGCATTTCAAGCCCTTGCATGTACCCATATTAGGACAGCGCTTACTGCTAATCACGTGGAGGTTCGTAGCGCGTGTGAAATATAGGCTTTCTTGTTCGCAGCGCAGATATAGTCCTTGCCAACGAACCTTTTACGTTCGCTACTAATGTCGAATTCCGAGTTAGACGCAAGCAAGCTTGTCGTTTAAACGAGTTGAGTTTTCAGCACTTCTGTAAGCGCAGTTGTGCATTTTTCGACTCCATTCACCGTTCGGCATGTCGTAGAGTGATGATCAAGGATGTTTACCAGTTGACATGCGCTTGCGCTTGCGCAAAGGGCTAGTAGTACAGCAAGTGCTGCTGCTAGGCGCTCGCTTGTGAAGGAAGACCTTGTTTTCTTCCGAATTTTACGGAGCAAACTCAGAAAACAAGATCCTAGAAGGCGCAGAACGAAGAAGAGACTTGTACGTAATCCCATCAACATAATCCGAATTGGCTTCCCGATGGTCATAGGTACGTAGAGTAAAAGATAACAAATAGCAACAAGACTGTACAGAATGAACGCCATCGTTACGATTGCTCGTGCTGGCCAACATTCCGGATTGAGAAGTACGGATGCGCATATCCAACAGTCTATATTCGAGCAAAAGTCTATCCCTTGACATACCGTTGACCTCGTAGCAAGTTGCTGCTCTGCATGCCATTTCAGGACAACGTTGTGATCATGAAGTGTGATTTCAGGTGGAAATTTCACTAGTTGTTGTCCCTTTTCAACATGCTGTACTCTACAAAAGTTTTCCGCGCAAACCTGTATTTCTTGAGCAGTATTTGCCTGTATTAGGACACCATTTTTCGTACAAGTCAACCGCATCTCGTTAGTGCTGCAGAGCCCAAAAAGAGCTAGCAGCATAAGATGGAAGAGGAACCATCCCGGAGAGCGAGAAACTGGTCGTTCTACTGCGTGGATTACGTTTTGTACACGACGCGCAGGTCGAGGGCGCAGATTGTATCTGGATTCTGTCTTCTGTGGAGTGGTTGTAGTGTCGTTGACGGAGTTTTCTTGTGCTCCTGCAGACTGCGCATTTTTTCTACTGTCTCGTATTTCCAGGGGGATTAGAAGGTTTACTGGTCGGCGTATTTTCCTGTTGTTCGCTGTCCTGAGTTCAGCTTCGCGGATTTCGCCATCGGTGCCGTGTTTTAAGTCGGTGATGCGCGCCATCTTCCATTCGTTCCGTGGAAGAATGGGGTCGTTCACCAGTACAACGTCTCCCACCGTGGGAATTTCACACCCGAGCCTGCGCTCCAGAATGACCCGTTTATGGGTTTCTCGTAGCGATGTGAGATACTGGCTTTGCCACACTTTCCAAAACAGCTCTGTTTCTCTGCAGGATGTGCGCAGCGCTTCTACCACTTGCTTGCGGTATTGCATTGCACGTGTCTCTTCCGGAGGAAGATAATCGGGGTCATCGCTATCGGGGCCCTCGGGGATTGCAAGCGTCAGTGAAATGTTGTTTTGCAAAAAGTCAATAGGACGAATGGAGACCATTTCCTCTTGTTCCGATGATTGGTAAGTAAGGGGCCTTGTATTTAGACAGGCTTCAATCTCGGCAACAAAGGTATGTATGTCGTCAAATGAGCGTTGTCTCGCCCCGCGCAGAGCTTTATAAATCGAATGTTTTATCGATTTTATCAGGCGCTCATAAAATCCCCCTTGCCAAGGCGCATAGGGTGTGATGTGGTTCCACTGGATCTCCTTACTGGTTAAGGAACGGAGGACGTCCGTATTTGGATCACCTCCCTGATTTCGTAAGATATTAGCGCTGAGGAGAAAGGTAGGCGCATTGTCGCAGGTAATGGATTCAGGGACTCCTCTGCGCGCAACAAATCTCCTTAATGCGTTGATGAACTCAGTCGTGGCCATGCTTCTTACGACTTCGAGATGGAGCATCCTAGTTACTGTGCAGGTGAAAATGCATCCATATAACTTCTGCTCCTCATCCTTTTCCCTACATGATGGCAGATCGAAAAAATCCAGTCCCGTATGTTGGAATGGACGACATCGAAGAACCCGGCGGCGGGGCAGATCTGATGTGTCCGGATAGCGGTATGGTAGCGCATTGAATCGTCGACATGGTATACAGTGTTTAATCACTGTTCGAACCTGCTGTCGTACTTTCGGAATCCAGAATCGTTCACGCACAGTGGCTATTGTATGCTCAATACCTCTATGGTAGGGGCCATGTGCATCCTGAATAATCTTCTCCGCTAGCGCAGTATTCGGCGCAACAAATATGGGATTTTTGGCGTCCTCGCTGAGTGCGGACCGACCTAGTCTTCCCTTTGAGCGCCATATTTTGTTTTCGTCCTGATAAAGTCGCAATGTATTTTCCATGGATTTGCGATATTCTTTAGTCGCATAAATAAGCTGATGGTTGCGAATCAGCACAAACTTTGCTGCGCGTATTTCAGAACCCTCCAAAGGACCTATAGAGTCTTTGATATTATGTAACTCAGGAACATGCGCTAAGATTCGTGTCTTGAAAGTCTCACACTTGTTGCGAAGAAGCTTCTTTATGAAACGAAGAACGAGCGCTGTGATTCTCTTCGCAGCAGTAAGAGAATTGTAGCGGCTACCTTGGAGAAGATCGCCAAGTCCTGTGCTTTCTCCACAACAAACATTTATATTTGCGGTTTGTCCATTCTCGGATTCCACAAATGTAGGCGCATCGTTCCGTACCAAGGGGTAGGTGGGATTGGACCACTGTTGTATCGGTGTGCGCAAAAATGGTGGTCCGCTCCACCAACAATGGTCGGTGATTTGTTCCTTGGTAAGTCCTCGCGTACCGGCATCCGCCGGATTTTCTGAAGTACTTATGTACCCGAAAACTACCGATATTGAGACGTCTTCCAGCTGGCGCACAATACGACGTATCTCGCGCAATCTGTTTTCTACCAATACTCCCAGATTAGTGTGACGAGTTGAAGACAGCCAACTAAGCGCTATTTGGGAGTCTGAGAAAATGTAGATAACGACGGGATAAGCTAAAGCTTGTAGTTTGAGTGCTTTTGCTATCGAAAAGGCAAGACGCGTCGCTAAAGTGAGTGCGTTCATTTCCAGCTTTGGCATAGTGGTTTTCGCTTTGATTGTTGGTAACTTGCTCTTAGCCATTACCAGCGATGAAGTGTTTCCATTAGACAGATAAGCGCAAACAGCCATAGCTACTTCACTAGCGTCGGCGAAAATCGCAAGATTGTGTTCCTCGGTGTCAGCCCAAAATCTCCTTGGAAAGGACTTATGGAATCCATTGATATGTCCCGCGATTTCAGTCCAATGGCTGGCGACCTCTATGGGCAACTTTGTGTCCCAATCGAATTTCTGTTTCCAAAGGTCTTGCTGGAACTTTTTGGCGGGCATAAGTAACGGAACAAGCCACCCTAGTGGATCGTATATTGACGCTATTTGGCGTGCAACGGTGCGCTTCGTGATCGTATCGATTGGAGTCAAGGAGCAATGAATTTCCAAGCTATCCATCCTCACGTTCCAAGGAACTCCTAGAACTTTTTGTATTGAGGCTTTGGCGCATGCAGTCTCCGGTAAGTGCTGACGTAAAGTCTCGTCATTGGACAAAAATTCTCTCAGATTCATGCCCATGTCTTCGAAAATTTTGCGCGCTTCCAAAGACTTCCTGCTCGCTTCATCGGATGTCGCAGCGGAGAGAATAAGGTTGTCTACATACAGGTTCTCTCTAATTTCGTTGGCTAAGTCCTTCATTTCTGACGGCGCTTCTTAAGTGGTGATGAATAGTTGCGCCTAGTAGATATGGAGACACATTTAGTCCAAATGTTACCCGAGTAAACCGAAACGTCGCCACGTTGTCCTCATCAAATGGCGCATTTACATCACGGACCCATAGAAATCGTGTGGCATCTCTGTCAGCCTCGTGTAAGCGCACTTGCAAAAAGGCTTTCTCGACATCTGAGATGATTGCGTACTTAGGGATCCTGAACCGCAACAACATGGCGTACAGCTCTGGAAGAATGAGAGGACCTTGGTGGATTATGTCGTTTAGAGAAGGATTATCTCTAAAATGCGCTGAGGCGTCAAATACTATGCGCAATTTGGTAGTCTCTTTATGTGGTGTTATAACTGGCTGATGGGGTATATAGTGGATAAGAGCACCATCAGCCTGATGGGAGTTATCAATCTCTTCAATAACGCCGATTTCTTGCTGCGCACGGAACGTTTCATTATAATCGCGCAGTAATTGTGGACTTTTCCGCAGTCCCTCTAAGACAGCTCGTAAGCGCTTGAGCGCAATTGCTCTGTTGGTTGGTAACGGCGGATGATCCTCTTTATAAGGGAAACGAATGTAGTAACCATCCTTGCGTTTCTCAATCGTGTCCTCAAAGAATTTCGCAACCTTCGCATTTGTTGCCTCCTTTTCTGCATTTTTTGTTCCGGTGAATTCGCATATTCCCGCGGAGTCCATGCTCCAGTACTTATCCCACCTTTCCAGCTCCTCGTCAATATTAGTGATATTATTGACAAAGGTTGCTGCTTCGCTCGTATTACGCTCCACTTGCTCAGTATTTTGTGGCGCTTCCATTTGTCGTCCTGTGAGCAAGTATCCGAGTTTTGATGGAACAAGTAGGAGTCCGGAGGGTAAGGTGTGTCGAGGATAAGGGACATCAAGAAGCGTCCATAGTTGGTCGCAGCCCAGAAGAATCTGTGGCTTTGAAGAGCGCTCGCATTCACTTCTGGATAAGGGAATATTGTGCTGCGCAATGTATTCCATATCCGCAATATCCAACTGCGCAGTTTTCCCTTTTGCCGTTAGCACTGGTGTAGTGTAAAGGCGCATTTCATGTTTTACACCTTCATGGTCCCACAGGTCCAACATCGTTACTCCGCATGTGGCTCGCCTGGGCGTTTCTGTACCAAAGGTGTACATAACGAAATTTTTTTGCGCTTCACATACGGTCCGAGCTTTTGAGCAAGTCCTTGACTTATGAAAGATTGATCCGCACCAGTGTCTAGTAAGACTTCTACGTCTTTCCAAAGACCTCGATTAGAGTCCCTTACTCGAGCCATTCCCGTTAATAAGAAGACTTCATTTTTCGCACTCAAAATCTCCTTATTGTCATTGCCAAGACTGGGTTCCTTCTCTATAATGGAGAGGACCATCTTTGGCATGTTCTCGTCATCGCAAAGCACTGCCGCTTTGTTTGCGTCAGAAACTGTTTCGATCAAGTGCGCTTGCGCGTGCTTCGATTTCTTCTGTGGCGCTTGCTTCGCTATGTTTTGAACGCTTTGTCGCGCAGGAGGGGTTGCCCGCTGTGGTGACGCCTGCGCCTTTCTATTATGCGGCGACTGCCCTTGTATACCTTGTGCGGACTGGCAGCGTTGTGGACAGAGCGTGTAATGGTGTTTTTTCCCATTGCATGCTCTGCATCCATCTTTTGGACATTCTTTGACAAAGTGTCCTTGGATGGCACAGTTAAGGCACCTATTATTTTCGCGGAAGACTAGGCGTCTCTCTTCCAAAGTGGCGTACCTTTTGCAAAATATGGATTTATGATCTCCTCTTTCGCAAAAAATGCATTGCCATCCATAGGCCATTGGCGCCGGTTTAGGTCGTTTATCTTCGTAAAAAGTTGATGGTGCATTTCCCTCGGGTTTGGAGTGGACCATGTCGTTTATGTTCTCCTCCATTGATATGATTTCGTCAAGATCGGTCAAGGCACTTTGCATGGTCCAAGCGCTTTCGCCTAATGATGGATCCATTCTCCGCTGAAGTACTTTTCTCTGAAGCTTGACAGAGAATTTCGAGAGTACTTTTTTCACGAGGAAGGATCCATCTAGAGGTACCCCCTTCTCCCTGAGTTGTGTTACTATGGGTAGCAGAAGTTCCAGTAGTCGGCGCTGTGATGATATCGTTGGTTTTTCGGCCCTCGCACTTTCTAAGCGGGATTGTAAACACGCGATGAACTTAGTATCGTCGCCGTATTTTTTGCGTAGAAGGTCAACGGCGTGGTCATAATTATCTTCCGTTACAGGGTAACGCCGTACCGTCTCACGAGCTTCCCCTTGCAGCGCACTGAGCAAGTAATTAAACTTTTGCAGCTTAGTTAGCGGCTGGCTGTGGACATTCGCTGCGAATAGAGTCCAAAAATTTTGAAACTCCCAGATTTTCCCGCTAAATGATGGTATAGGAAGAGGAGGTAATGTTGTTGGCGCAACACTTACTTCTCTCGCAAGCGCATTCTGGTTATGGAAGTTAGATGATGCATGCGTTTGGTCTCGGGCGCATATACGGTTGCACTCCAGCTGAATGGCCGCTGTTTGTGCAAGTTCGAGGGCGCTATGCGCCTTCGTGACGTAATCGTCGATTTGCCTCTCCTGATCTTCGGTCAGCGCTTCCCCTAGTGAATCACACATAGCCGTAAAGGCGTTCAACGCATCTATGACCAAGTTCACCGAGGAATTAAGTTGTAGCGCTACGGCTTGCGCCTGTGACACTCTAGTGTTATCCCAGAAGGCTTCTGGATCCGCTTTTATAATTTCTTCGTTATCCTTCAGAATGCGCTCTATATTGTTACAATAACGCGTTAAAAGCGCTTTTTGGGATTTCAAGGATATAGGTCCACTCATTGTAAAAGGGTTGATAAGTCAAAATGTCAAAAAAAGGGAAAAAGAATGAGAAGTCTGAAGGCGCCTTTGCAAAAATCAACTGCGCTCTCGCCAACGGATACAAAAAGCAAGAATAAGGAAATAACAAGGAAATACCTGTATACAAGGATTTCGTTCTTCTCAATCCAGTCCGAGTTCGCAGAAGGTCTGATGCACCATAAAAAGGTTCGGTGGTTCGCCAATTTGCTCACGATAGGAGGTCCACCAACACCAACAGGCGCACAACAAGTTTATTGACCACACCTCAAACTTGGGTAATTAAACTGGTGCAGAAATAGTAAAATAATCAAGAAAGACACACACGATAAGGCATTCTTATCAATCGCATAGTAATCCCAGCACTATAGTCAAACAAGAGATAATCTTCCCAATTAGAGATACAAAGAAAAAGGCAAGGCACATGAGCGCATCATCAATCCTAGAAGAAACTTGAGCAAATACCAACGTATTTATTCATTTATTCTGCGTCGGCGTTTGACTTCGCTAGATGCGCACCAGATAAGCGTTGGAAGCTAAAGTAAAGCCTTTATCAGATCAAGAAAAAGTCACAACATCATTCCTCTCTTACATGACAGTAATCGATCAAAGAGATCGCGGTACATCCGCGATACTCCCGGCCCGGCGGTCTTCTAGTTGTGGAGAAGGCGCATTTCGTGTTCCAGAAATTCGATTCTCTGATAAGTGTCTTCGAGACTACGCCGTGCCCTTGCTAACCTTTCCGCGACTTCCTCACTTCTGTCAGGTAATTCGCATAAGGCGGAATGATGATCAAATTCCCCGCAATGGAAACAACGCGCATAATATTTTGGACATAGCTGTCTTCCTTTACAATTCTCCAGGCACTCCACACATCTATCTCTGTCTTCAATCATCTGGCGGCGTTCCGTGACAGATGTTATTTCATCGCATGAGTCCGAGTAGTGTCTACCCACTGATCTGCAGAAGGCGCAGCGCATAAGTCTTTCCGCATTGTTGCTGATTGCTCCGTACCCATACCTTCTTGGCGGACAAGTGGGGTGCTGGCGCAATTCGTCGATGATTAGGCGAAGATTATCGCGGGCTTGTTTTAGCTGTTGG